CAAAATAAAATCAGAATAGTACTAATACCCATGTACAACATGTGTGTTGAGTTAATAAATATATGTGTAAAATTATTTATGTCTATTACCAAACTTAACTCCATATTAAAAATAATATAAAAACAATATCACGAAGCATAAATTTTCGTCATGTCAGCATCCAAAGCGTGAGAATCTGCCACCTAGGCAGCTAGGCTCAACACGTTTTGAATTAATATATAGGAAAGGATGACCGGCCTTTTATTTTATGGTTCATAAATGAGCCAAAATAAATAAATTAGATAAAAGAATGATGGGCAAAATAGCTCGTTATATCACAACCTTTTACCATATTGCTAAAACATCACGACTTTTGAACCTTGGCGGAAAATATCACAACCTTTGATTTCTTTGCAAAACGATACACGAAAGTCAGAAATCAGCCATCGTTACATTATTTAAAATCACTTTACGAAAGTTCGAAAGTATCATCACCTCCGAAATACTCCGTATTGTTCTCAATAGATACAAATATTCCCCCCATGGTGTATCAATTATGGCCGGTTTTCGACTTTCATGTATCGTTTTGCAAAGAAATCAAAGGTTGTGATATTCTCTGCTAAGGTCCAAAAGTCGTGATGTTTTAGCAATATGATAAAAGGTCGTAATATAGCGAGCTATTTTGCCAAGAATGATGTAACCACATTATATTGTCTAACCATTTTGCGAGTAAAATACATATATATTGTCTAACCGTTTTAGTGAGCTAAGCATATATTAATAATTTGGATATTAATACGCGATTACCTGATCTAAGTCAACTTGTAATTACATAACTAACCACCATCTCATAAGTCATAATGGAGGTTTATTTGACGATTAGTGAATCTACCTGATACGATAATTTATATATATAAATGTTTTGTAGTCAAATACTTTATAACATTCTCCCACTTTTTTCTTTTAATTATATAAATTGAATTTTACATTTTGCATTGATTATAAGTGTCATGAAGTTTTATTACTTATTTATCATATATTAACTCATACTAATATTAACTAATTGTAAATTCACCCTAAAAGTTTATGGAAGTAGTACACGCATAAAAAAATTTATAGCAAAAATGTTTTTCTTCAGATTACTTATTTTAAAACCAACAATAATAATAATAATAATAATAATAATAATAATAATAATAATAATAATAATAATAATAATTATTATTATTATTATTATTATTATTATTATTATAATATCCAAGTAAAAGTTTTCAAGTAAAAATTTTTCAGGTCTACATAGATAGTAAGATTAGTTATTATGTTTTTAACTCAACACAATAATAATATTACAACCATAAAAGACCGACAAAATATCACAAACCCACAAAAATCTAAAATTAATATATGCTTAATCATGTCTTTATCAATAATTGTATCACGAAAATTGCTTTACTTCTCCTCAAATCACTGAACTTCATGTAGTGCTCTTCTTTCTTTCATTCATTCATTTTTTTTTTTTTT